ATAATAAAATAAATAACAATTCTAAGCTCCTAATAAACCCTTTTTGTAAATAAGAGGAATGAAAAAATGGATGAAATAAACAACAGATTAATTAAAAAGGCAGATTGAGGACAAACATAAATTTCTGGAAGATGGGTGCGGAAAAGTCTAAAAATAAAGTTTTAAATTCTACTTTCTTTTTTTGCATTGATCCAAAAAGACATCCTTTACTTTTTTTAATACCGTACAATATAACAAATTGTGCTCTTTCCATTTACTCACAGACACAGAAAACAGAGTAAGTATGGCTTTAGGTTAAGAATGTTGTTGAAACATCTTCAAAACAAACTAACAATAACTCATCCAGTCTTAATTTAAATGGTAAATCTCTCTGTTTGATTTTTTTATTAAATCATAGTAGAGTGGGTATGAAATCCTATCAAAATTTACCAGCAGAGATGAGTATCAAACAGCCTCAAGTTGCCCAAATAAAAGATTGTCAGTACTTGTTTTTCCTCACCCTGTTCGTCTAACAGCACCATGATGCTGTCTCTGTGGGTGTGGCCGTAAAACTGTCCTGCAACAACATGGCTGTACTTCCTGAAGATGGACACCAGCCTCTCGTTGTGGCGCTCTCTGATAGCGGTGACGTTTCGGACAAAGGGCAGGTATCCCACCGGGACGTGGGCAATGATGTAGACCTAAACAACAAATGCATCAAGCGGAGCGGATTAAACCAACTTTAAAGGATATCACACACAGCCATGAGGGAGAAAAATTAAAGGAAAAGTTCACACCTTTTCTTGGCTCTGAGCTGCTTTCTGCAGAACATTCTCCAGCCACTCAAACTGTCCAGCTGGGTCTGTCATGTTACTTGTAACTTTATCAGGACCGTAGTAAAGGATGGTGTTGAGACTCACCAACCGCAGACCAGGTTTTACCAGCTGAGAGTAGAAACCACCTACAGAAACAGAGCAAAACCCAAATTAAGGCCTGATGCTTCTTAAAATGAAGCCATCCGTATATTTTTTTCAACATTTCCAACAGGTTGACGTACAGTTAAAGTAAAATATTCACATGCATGGATCGCAGAGATATATTATTAGGTATTCAATTCCTTAAACTGATGAGATGCTGCATTTTTTAATCAAGATTAACTGATCTTACTATGAGAATTGATTTAAAGTTCTGATACCTTGGTATTTGAATTCATATTAAGAATTGTACACTTGGATTAAAGGACAGACAACTAACAAATGATCCATAAAAACACTGTTTTCTCCCATTTTTACAATGCATAAATCATTTAAAAATTTCCTATCAGCATCCAGTAACATATTCATATAAAAACAGAGCAGATCAATTTAATGTCGACAGTAAAAACACTACAGCTGTCCAACTGAAGTTTATATTGAAAAAGTATAATTTCACCACATAAAAGAAATGTGGAAACCATGAATATTGGAATGGATGTTATCAAAAAAGACCTAATCTAACTGGATTTGAATAGAATTGTTCCACTCAGTTGTGGTTTAGAGCTTTACAACTAAACTTAGATGAAGTGATTCAAATTAAGATATAAAGAAGCTCAGATTACCAGCTGAATCAGTTTATGTAAAACATTCTATCCCGATCCAGGAGGCCCTAATCTACCTTGTGAGAGAGTGGAGAGAGCTTCAGCGTCCAACCAGGGCTTCCAGAGAGCAGCGGCTGCTTTGTAGATGGCGTTAGGGGAGTCTGGCATCTGGTCCTGGATGAATAAAGATAAGCAATCATTGGAAAACAATTCAAACCTTCTTATAGTTTTAAGGTTTCAGGATAAAATAAAAATTGATCTGATCTGACCAGGACTCACTTAAAAATGTTTGATGAATGAAATCTACCTGAATAAATACAGGTTACATTCATAGATGGAAACAAAACTAATGAAAAATAACATGGAAGATCACTGGATACTTAAATAGAAATAAATAAATAAATAAATAAATAAATAAATATGGGGTTAAATTCATAAGAGACAATCACTTTATTGCAGCCATATGTTGCTCTACAAGCTGGTGAATCAAAGGTTGTGAATTATTCACAGCATCCATGTTGGTTTTGTTTTGTTAAACACTTAATGTGATGAAGCGATAAACCAAGTCTTCATTTTGGATTCTGTGTGTATTTAAATCATTTTACAATGAATTTTTTATCATTTTACATGAATTTTATTTCTTAACCATAATGTTTTTTTTATGTCATTGGTATTGTAATTTAATCTTGGGATTTTATACTTGTGTTTATTTTTAATGTTGCCTTTTTAATATCTGGCTTGGGGACTACCAATGAAAATTAGCACTCCTTAGCTAACTCGGGTATATTTACATTGTTTTAATGTTGATTAATGTACACTGTCCCCTTTCAAATAAACAATAAATGAAAATGAAAATGGAAACCTCAGAAGTGAGAGAAAATATGGTTTTATTTTTATAAGAGCAGGTCATATAAGATCGACTGAGTCATACCTCTGGGTAACTGATTGCTGCATATCTGATTATCGCAAAGTTCCCCTAAAAATGACCTGATTGCATAATTTGAATAATACAAAAAATCCTTCCTTTCTTCAGGACTAACTTAACACAGCTGGGGAATAACATGGTCACACTTTTTGTCTCCATCCTTCCTCCCTGATGCGTCACGGTTACCTGGGGCCAGTAGTCATGGTTTCCCACAGCGGGGTAGACAGTCAGGTTGGGGAAGTGTTTGGTGATGGTCTGCGTCATGTTGCTGATCACCTGGATCACCAAGTCTGTAGAAAGCTCATCTGGAGGAACATGAGGTGGACTGTCCCTGTGAGACAAACAATATAAACCCTTCATGATATGCTTATCTAATAAAGATAAAATGAGAGGAATTAGAAACAGAAAGCACATTTGTTAACTTTGTTGGTAAAATCCAAATGTTAATTATAATTTTTAGCGGTAATACGGTTGTCAAAAATATTCATACTCTTCATGTATTGCTACTTAAAAAAAGCATTTTCATGTTATTCCTGTTAATTTTAGATTACTGCCTAATTTTACATATAAATAATGATACATCTGAAAACTTCAAAATATTGGAAGATTTTGTCTTACTTGGGTTGTTCATTTTGTATTTACTAGCATATTGTTCTGTTAAGAAAAATTTTTCCACGCGATATAGAAAAAAATGTGAGTTTTTCATGTTATTTTTAATTTATTTTTTATGCCATTGGTGTCAAAAACGGTATCGACTATAGAATATTTTGGTTGGTATCAATATAAAGTTTCAAATTTTACTGTAGTCAGAGTGCACAAAGATCAAATCATGACTCCAATTAATGTATTTATTTAAATATTATACAAATAAAAAGAAAGACAAAAGATATAATGGTAAAGATATAAAATCAAGATGTCCTAAAGGGAGTAGGTCAAAGTAAAACTTATATTTCTACTCCCTTCTAAATTCATGACAACAAATTAAATATACTTAATTCAAATTAATGATTTTCAGGTCTTCCTCAAGTCCATATAAACTACAATAACTTCCTTACAGTCCAGCTAAAATGTATAAAGACTCTTTAAAATAACTTCCTCATGAAAAACCACAGAAGATAATAATCTTAAGGAAGCGGGAAGTGATGCTTCCTCTTAACTGAACGTTGACGGTAACTCTGTCAGGAATAGAGGTCACAAAAAAAAAAAAAATAAATCATAGTCTGTTCGCTGAGCTTTTAAACTATCTTCCAAACACAGAGGAAGATGGTTTAAAAGCTCAAATAAAAAGAATATTAATATGAATGAACAAATGACTTTAATCTAGCATAATTACCAACTTTACACATACAAACATTATGTATAGCTTGTGATATATATGATTAAATGAGCTATATAATTTAGTGCTAATGTGTGAAAAGCGGTATGGAGAAGTGAAACTTTTATATTCATACCCCTTTTTGCTTCCTACTTCACTTATGAGTCCATAGTACTCCAAACAGAGGAGAGAAGGGCCTGTAATTAATTCCTTTCTCTTTAAATAAAACAGATAGATATATGCAACTTTTTTATTATAAAGATTTTGTTGCAATTATCTTTTAATTTAGATGGAAAGTTTTAACTTTAACAGAACTAAAGTGTCATCTAGGACCAATTGAAAATGAAAGTAACTTAAAATCTTTGAACTTTTTCTTTTCTGTTTTAATGTAGAAAAGAAGTTGAAGTCAACCACTAGAGTAAAAAAAGGAACAGGAACTGTGAACTGGTTCTGTCTATTCCTGACAGACATTCACCAATTCAGCGTTTCGCATTATTCTATAATGAGACAAACCGAACTAATACTTTTAAAGTATTTTTCAGTCGTCACCTTCAGTGTGTGTACTGACCCGGTCCATATGATGAAGTCCTGTGGCTGTGTGAGCTGAGCCATGTTGGCAAAGGCTGACTGGATCAGGCTGTAGGGGGAGTCGCACAGGAAGTCTCCGTACAGCCCTGCGTGGGTGGCGGGGGCTCCTTTAGAGGAGAAGCACACCTTGGTGGGGTCCTGGGCCAGGTGGTAGGTGGGGTCCAGGTGGAGGTCAGTAATGTGCCAGAACCTGCCTGAGAAAACAGAACACTGGTAAATAACCATTTTAGAATATTGCTTCCTATCCACTGGAATGAACTAAATGTAATAATGCTGAAAACTCCCACAAATGTTATATATTTTAATAGGCGCTTCAATCAGCAGTGGGGTATCTGTTTCAGTCATTTAAACTTAATCAGTGAAAGGTATGCTTTATTTAAAAAGCAGGATAATATTAAAATGTCTTAATTTTCATTAAGATTTCAACTGTATCATTGTTTTTTTAGTCAGAGCTGGTCAGTAAAGGGTAATGTGACCTCAGAGAAAACCAGGAATCCTTCATGTTGTGGTTATATTGTCCAATGGGAACTATAGTCATATGTTTACATCACCACAGTTTCTTTTTTTTTTTTTTTTTATCACTGCTGCTTACTTTAATCAAGACTGCACTTTAAAAAATGAAAAAGTCTAGAGAGCTGTACTAAAATAAAATTATTTTTGTATACATTTGTGTGTAAAAAATGACAAAATAGAATCTAAGTCATAGAAGTTACAGTTGTTTTAGTAGAAGTAGTGTTATTGATATTATTTTATTATAACCCTAGCAACAAATATGCATAAATACAACCATGTCATGTAAAACACAAATATATGAAAATTTGTAGCAATAAATACATAAAACTATTATTATTTTTTTATTTCTCAAAAGGGTAAAATGTCTTCAATCTTATTTTTCCCATTAGTAACTGTCTTTGAGGCTAAGGATGAAGCCATGGTGTGATGATGATGGTCTAGGGGTTCTGCTCGTTTCCTGTCTGCCTACTTTGTAAAAATGTAAAACAATAAAGGCCACTAGAGCCCAAAAATAAATTAAAAAGATAAAAAACAAACAAACAAACAAAAAACAAACAAACAAACAAACAAAAAACATTAAACCCCATGGATGACTCCTATGGCAGAACTCCCCTTAAAGTTTTACCAATTCTTATATTTTTGATTTTAGCACAGATAATGCGCACTGAACAAAATAATTTAACGTAAAAATGTATGAATACAAGATATTTTACAATTCGGCAGGTGAATAACGAGCAAAGCTCCGCTATGTTTATAAATATATCTTATTTTATTTGCGGATGTGGGCGTTTGTTGCTGTTTAACGCGCAAAGCGAAATGTTAAATATATAGACTAATCCTCTCTGCATACAGGAGCCCTGGGATTTATTTCTATATTAATAAAAGACCGCAGCAGCTGTTTCTCACCTGTTTCTGGCAGGAAGCTGCTCCCAGTCGGAGCTGCAGAAACCAGAGTCTCTCTGAAGAGCAGCAACAGGAACAAACACACAACCTGAGCCATGATTATGATACAAAACGAGGTGATACGTTGGTTAAATAACGAGGAAAAGCAGCAGAACTGAGGAACCGATCAGGTCCTAAAAGTAAACAGGAAGTACAGAGACCAGCTGGTCAGCTGACTGAAAGGGGGAGGAGTCAAACAAGAGGAGAAACTTTACTGGTTAAAAAAATGTTTATCTTTTTAATGCTTTGTTCCCTCTAGATGACTTTAAAAATAAACTGACCCATTTATTTTTTATTTTATTTTAATGTTATTAATGTTGTCTTATTTGTAACTTAATAAATTGTCCTACATAAACCTTTAAACCTCATCATTTATTTTCATTTGGTGAACTAAGCAAACAGAGGTGAACTTCTTGTTTTAATCTGGATCATCGTCCTCCTGCGTAGCACTACTATAACATACTAGTATATTTAAATAAAATAGATGTTGTTCATTTCCCAAAAGCCAGTGTTAAGTTTTCCAGATGTAACACAACACATCATTTAAAACGGCTCCACCTTTGTTTTTGACCAACTGAAGGATGATGTAATCTTTGTTTAATTTGGAGCTGTGATCCGGCAGCTGCCTTTAAGAGTTCAAAGTTTAGTATTTGGCTGATTCAGGATCAGATCACTGACCTCCATCCAGATGTGATGAAAAATCATATCCTGATGTCTGCTCTATGGTTAGGGCCCGTTAAACCATTGATGTTTCACTGCAAACGCATTTGTCAAGGAAGCATCATTATTAGAGATTAAAGGTAAAGTCATTTGGAAAATGAACATGGTAACCATCATGTTTCCAAAGTGTTTGTGTTAATTTATTGCTCTGATTCAGTGGCTCGGCTACTACTTCATCGCACCACGGCTGTTGATTTTGCCACAACAAAGGTGGTAAAACTTATCAGGATGATAAACCTGAACCCCCCCTGGGCAATCAGAAGGATCCTCATACCCTGTTGGCATCCATTTGGAGATAAAATCACGCCTCCTTTAATGGCACATAGTCTGTAACAAATAATAAATGGTTTCATCCCTGAAGTTGTGTTACTTTCTGCACTGAGGTTTAACACAGAAAACAATGAAGCCGCCTGGTACATCACTAAACAAATAGGAGAGGTTGATGTTCACCTTCAAGGAAACAAACCCACCTGTTGAAATAACCAGGACACCAAGGGTTAATAGCAAAAGGAAATTATGGAAAGCTTCAGGGCAGTGAGATGTTCTCCTTTTTTATGCTTTACCCACTTTGAAAGGCATAATCTCAGTCAGAATATGGAGTTCATTTTGGTGTTCAGCAGGATAATATCAAGACTAGAAACCTTTTGATGATAATTGGCATTTGAAAAAAAAAAAAACATCTATTATTGAATTAATGAGACTTTATGGAAAAGACCAATGGACCTTTAAAACATAGTCTGTCACACAGAGTTTCAGACACTGGAAGCCTTTATGAGCCATCTCAACTTTTCTATTTGAGTCCAAAATGACCACTCTACCTGGGTATATTAATGAATAACAGTATGTCTCTTAACAAAATGCTAAAAAATATCTTATGTAGAGAGAATTGCAAGAAAAGCCCAACAAACCATCAACTCTGGAAATACAAAGGTTCAGTCAATTCTTCAAGAACTTGATGTGTTTCGGTGGAGAAAAGAAAACTTTCATAAATGGAAATGTAGTCAATCTGTACTGCAAGAAAATATCCCGCCTTCACTGAGGCTTACCATTCTTTAATGATGTGATAATCTAACCAAGTGCTTTAGGTATTAGAGGCAAGTTTTGGCTGCTGGAGTTCTGTATCCCATTCCGACTTAAGACAGACTACAGAAAAGGTTCAACAGTGCTGCTTTTTTATGAAAGGTGGTCGATTTTTTCCAATTAATAACTTGGTAGTCTTTAAGTATAAATATGTAAATTGGAACCCTGGTTATTCTGCCTGTACCGAACATTCTGTGTTTCGCAGAGGAACTGGATGAATCTAGCAAAGAATCACAGATTAGATTAAAGAGTAATTTCATACATGGAGTTTAAGGGACTAGAAAATTAACTACCATGTTCCCTGATATGATAATAAAAAAATGTGTTATTGTTACTATAGGTGACAAATTCTGCATTGAGCCTTTGTCACAATGTTGTTCTGCAGTGAGTTAAATCTGTGTTTATTTCATAGAGAACATACTGTATCCAGAAATGTCAAAAGTTAGACTAAAAACTGCCTTTTTTAAACAATTGACCTCTTATAATCAGACCAAACCATTCATTTAAAGCAATACAAGCATGTAAACACAACACATTTCGTTTCTTTATTTTGTTTTACACAGAGTTGCAAAGTCGCTTCATCTGTCATGACAGAAATGGATTCATATATAAAAAAAAAAAACATCTTACAAAACATGTGCAGCTTGCAGATCTTTTACATGCAGAGGAGAATGAAGTGCAAAGAGCAAACAGTCCACAATAATTACGAAAACAACACGGCTTGGCCGGTCAGTGGTGCTGTCAGTGTGAGCTCTCATGCCTTCTCATAGGTGCGCACCGCATGGACATCTTCAAAGGTCAGATTCTGCACAAAAGAAAAAAAAAATCCTATTATTTTTCTTTTAAAGCTCAGTTTATATAAAATAAACATGGGAATAAATTACAGATGCTGCCAGTAAAAAAAATACGCTTGATCATATGATATCTATAGCTTTGTATTGCGTTTTGTTGTTTATTCTTCACATTGATTTTCTGCATTTAATTTCTAGCTCAGAACCCATTTTTTTTTATTTNGTTTATCATCATCTTAAACTTTGAATTAAAAGGTTAAATTACTCATACAGTCATAGGATATTGAGCTATTTTCCTATTTAAACCTCTTTTCTTGGGAAATTATTTTGACTGAGAAATAGTCAAAAATTGAAAAAAGCTAATAAAATGTAGAAGTGAACTAAATCTTGTGCTTTTACCATGATCATCTTGCCGTCTTTGATCTCTCTAACAAACTTGGTCTCTTTGCCGTCCCATTTCTGGACGTGGACCAGCTTGTCTCCATCCAGAGTCACAGTGGACTGAAAAGAATCAGAGAAAAGAAGAGTTTCAGTCTGAAAACAACAGAAGTGAGCCTTTATAAGGCTGCTGGTTTTCTCCAGATGAGTGAAGATGTTTATTAGTGGTGCTGAGTTATAAACATACCTAAAGTCAAGAGTTTATAAACTATTCCAGCATTTTAACAACCATGAAAAAATACATTTTTTTTCCCGGAATAAAGAAAAGTTGTAGACTTATTTTCAAATTTTAAGTATCTTCAAAGTAGTAACAAAAAGTTTTCAATCTTACAAAAATACTTTAAGTTGTTCCTCATATTCAGACACTGAATATCTTTCTTTTTATTCTTACTCTTATTGTATAAATAAAGTTTTTAGATTAACTGAAGAGGTTTGAGTCTTGTGTTCTTGGACCTTACTTTGCAGTTTCTGTCATCAGCAGTGGTTTCATCAAACTCCTCTCCCAGTGTGAAAGTTATCTCTGTGTTTTTGAAGGTGCTTTGGGTGCGGATCGCCACCTTGTCTCCCTCCTGGCTGATGATGACAGTCGGTTTGGTCACATTACCAACCTGCCTGGTGGCAAAGCCAACACCTGAAGGAAGAGAAACAGGGAGAATTTTATTGGAGACCTCTTTATTCTTAACAATCCTCTTATTCCTGATGTGTAGTTTGCATATTAATTATTAAGCTATGGTATTTCATATAGTAAGAAGTAAGAAAGCCCACATGTCACTCACCAAGTGCTTTCATGTACTCATCGAAGTTCTCGCTTTCGACCAGCTTCCAAGTGGCACAGAAGGCGTCAACCATGGTGAAGGTTTGCAGAGGACAAAGTTATCTCCAAAATGCACTGAGCAAGCTGCAGCTTTTGCAGATTTACTCCACAAACTTATCACCCTGCCTCTTATTATTATGCACACATGTGGGTGTGGCTCAGCATCCTATTGGCTCAGGAGATTTTAACTGAGCTGTGATTGGCTGATAAACTGGGTCAAGTTCTTTAACTGAAAAGTAGAAATTTAATTAACCCATTTATATGTTTAAAGATTATATATCTGTTTTATTAGAGTCATTTCTGTTGTAAGACACAATATTTTCCATTTAAGTAAAGACAATTTATTTTTAAGGATGATCAATTTAATTTGGTCAATGTTTTTTTGAAAAAAAAAAAATCTATAAGTTTAGAAATCTTATATCAGTTTTTTGACCTTTAGTGACATCAGGACAGGTTGAGGCTGCAGCAGTAGATTTGTGATTTTTAAAGTTTTCGTCCTTGTTTAGTAGTCAGACTGTTGTGTGTGTGAGGACTGCATCCTGCAGGGGGTCATCATTGAGGCAGAATTACTTTGTTTGACAGCCTATTGTCCTCACAATAGGCTCACAATAGACACAATCTCCTTATGTGGAAATTAAACACTAATTAATGAGGGTGAATGTCTGCATATGTCCATGTTAGAGACTGAGTGCAGTCAGCTTTCCCCCATAACATTAAAATGGCAACTAAAGAACTTTGATCACTTTCAGGATTGGAGGATGAAAACATTTGCATTTTTTTATTAACCCCAATTTTAGTTTCTACTTTCGTTTAACCTAGAACCTCGTTAAAATTATGAAGAGGACTTAACTCTAATTCAGTATTAGCCACACAGAAATATGAAAAACGAAGACTGCCAATCCTCAGATGAGGTTTAGTGAAGCCAAGAGGAAAAACAAACCATATTTTAAAGCGTTGGAGATTCTAGTTCTCTGTGTTTAACTGCAGCCTTGGAAAAAAGTTTATTATCTGGGGTCTCCTATTCCTCTTTTTATATATATATGTTTTTGTTTATATTTTCAGCAAGTTGCGGAAATTAATCTCAGCCTGATTTTTCTGATGCTTTAAGCGTAAAAAAAAAGTGATACAGTTAAAGCACAAATACCGTGTTTGATGCATTTGAAAACAACATGTAGTAAACTATCTGCATCGGTCACCAGTGGATGTGTGCAAACAGCTATGCTGATATGCTCTGCAGGGTTACAGTGAATGTGGAGCTACAAGGGAAAAAGTTTATTTGGAGAGAAAAAGAAGA